GGGGTCTTTTCATCGGGGTAGGCCTTTGGTGCCAGATTCTGGGCTGGTGGTGCCTTCGGTTCTGGCTGTTGCTGGACAGAGTGGGCTCCATCCTGTTCGCCGCCTTGGTTCTCGCAAGGCGCGTCGGCCCTTTCGCGGTGGGGGGGGGGGCGGCTTGCAAGGTTTGCCCTCGCCTGGTCCCACGATTCATGGGCTTTTCGGGTCGTTTCGTGTGGCCTGTGGTGGCGTTGGGTGGCTCTTCCTCCCTCGGGGGGTTCGGGGCTTGCGGGGCAGGCCTCTTCTCCTGTGCTCTGTCGGGTCATCTTGGAGGGGGTTCGCTTGGGCGTCATCGAAACGACGTCATCCCTCAGGTGGGTTTCCCGCCTGTTTCCGGTTCCGAAACGGGACTGCGCGGACCTCCGTTTCATTCTGGACTTGTCCCATCTGAACCCGTGGGTGTTGTGCCCCTCCTTTCGGATGACTACGCTGTCCCAGGTCTGTCTTCTCTTGGAGAGGGGCGCTTGGATGGTGTCCCTAGATCTCGAGGACAAGTATTGGCACGTCCCGGTTCATCCGGAGTTCAGGGACTGGCTCGGTTTTGTTGTGGGGCGTCAAGGTTACTGCTTTCGTTGTCTTCCCTTCGGGTTGAATCTGGCGCAACACGTTTTCACATGCCTCACTTGGGTCATGGTAGCCCGCCTGCATCTGCTAGGTGTTCGGGTGCTGGCCTATCTCGATGACTGGCTGGTTTGGGCTCCCAGCCAGTCCGCGTGTCTGCTCGCCAGGGATTTGGTTCTCTCCCAGCTCGCCAGGTTCGGGTTCTTGGTGAACTGGAGGAAGTCCCATCTGGTTCCCTCTCAGGTTCAGTCTTGGCTGGGTCTGGTTTGGGATGGTTGTGCTGCTTCCTTGTCTCTTCCTCCGGCGGCTCTCTTGCGCCTGCGGTCCCGCCTTCGCCCGTTACTGAGGGGTTCCCGGGTCACAAGGCGATTGCTCGAGAGTTTGTGCGGGAGCCTGAATTTTGCCATGATGGTCTACCCACCGGGTCAGGTGTGGCTTCGTCGGCTGTTCTGGTTCCTTCGGGGCCGGCCCTTCCGCCTCTCTCGCGATCATTGGGTTCGACCCCCGAGGACTTTGCGTCGGTTGCTGCGTCGCCGGCTTCCTCTTCAGGTTTTTTGGGGTTCGGTGCCTTGGCGCCTTCCCGTGCCCTCGCTCAATGTGTACACAGACGCGTCATCTCTTGGCTGGGGTTTTGTGACCAGTGCTCACCAGGCCGGCCAGGGGCGGTGGGTTCCGTCTTTCCGTCAGGCTCACAGCACGGTGCAGGAGTTCGCGGCAGTGTGGATGTCGCTCCGAAGGATTCGAGTCACTCGCGGATCGACGATCCGGCTCCATTCGGACTGCTCCCCGGTGGTTCATTGTTTGAACCGAGGGGGTTCGATGCGATCCTTGGCTCTTTGGGGCTGGTCACTTCGGGTGACTCGTCTGCTGAGTTCTCGGGGATTGAGTCTCCTGGCGGTTCATGTCCGGGGGGTGTCCAACGTCCTGGCAGACGGCCTGTCTCGGTTCCGTCCCCTGTCCTCGGAGTGGACGATTGATGCTGACTCCTTCCGTTGGCTGTGCCGGATGTTCGGGACTCCGGACGTGGATCTCTTCGCGTCGGAGTGGTCGAGGTGTCTCCCGGTTTATGTGGCGTCCTTTCCCGACTGCAAAGCCATCGGGGTCGACGCCTTCAGGCTGGACTGGGCGAGGTGGGGTTACCTGTACCTCTTTCCCCCGGTTCTGCTGTTGCTCCAGGTCCTGACTCGCTTGGAGACTTACCAGGGTCGTGTTGTCCTTCTGGCCCCATGGTGGCCGGCCCAGCCTTGGTTTCAGGCGCTGCTTGCTCGGTGTCCGTACCCGAGGGTCTTCCCGCGGCTCCGCCTCTTTCAGCAGATCGGTCCAGCCCTGTACGAGGCTGGTTCCATCTTCTCCTCGAGTCTTCGCGTCTGGTGTTTTTGACTCGGGTTTATCATTCGTTGTATGGTGCACAGGTGGCTTCGTTGTTGGTCTCTGATAGGGTTGTTCTGTCCTTTCTCTCTTGGCTGTTTCTGGACCGTCATCTTATGCCGAATACTATCGCTTTGTATCGTGCGGCGTTGGCAAATCCGCTTCAGCTTGCTTTCAGGGTTGATGTTACTTCCGCCCTGTTTTGCAAGTTATCGCGGGTGTTGTTTCACCTCCGGCCTGCTCATGCGCCGCCTTAGCCGTCTTGGTCTTTGGACCGCGTGCTCTCGTTTCTCTCTCTGCCCAGGTTTGTGGTGGCCCCTTCCATTCGGGATTGTTTTTCCAAGGCTTTTTTCCTGTTGGCATTGGCCTCGGGGGGTCGGGTTGGCAAGCTTCATGCTCTCCTCTGGCGCCGGGGTTTCTGCTCTTTCGGTCCTGGTGGTCGTTTTGTTCGTTTGCAGCCGTCTCCCTCTTTTCTGATGAAGAATGAGACGGCTGTGTTCCGGAGGGGGCCGTGGGTTGTTGATGCTTGGTTGGTCAGGCCGGGGGTGCATCATGTGATGTGTCCGGTTGCGGCTCTCTACCGTTATTTGCGCGTCACGGCTTCTGTTGCCGGGGATGCGCTCTGGGTTGATCCGGTTTCCCTTCTTCCCTGTTCCCGGGCTCGGGTCTCTCAAGTTGTCCGCAGGGTTATTAAGTGTAGCCAGCCTGTGGTTTTTTCCCCGGGCCCACGACGTTTGTAAGTTTGCTGCTTTGGCGGCTGTCTTTGGCAACATGTCTTGGGTGGACGTTCGGGCCTGGGGTTTTTGAAGATCGAACAGTGTCCTGGCTGGTCGCTACCTGGTGAATTTTCCTGGGCCTCATCGAGCCTGCGTTGCTTTGGGTCGGCGGTTGCAGCCAGTTATAATAATAATAATAATAATTTTTATTTAGGTAAGGTACATACATAAAGAGATTTTACAAAGTTTGTTGGCTTTATAGATAGAGCTAGTACATACAATGCCTAAAGCCACTAGTTGTCTCGCCTTCGCGTTGAGGAGTGAGGACGGACCGCCGCCCAGGTAAGTCCCTGTTTTTTCCTTATCTTTGGGTAGTTAGCTCCGGGGAGCCGACGGGGCTTCCCCCAGAAATCCAGCGTTGAATGTAATGAAACGCCATTTTCTGGGTGAGGACCAGAGGCTCCTCGACATCCCTCCCTCCCTACGGTCGGCGGTGTTTTTCGCATTTTTGACATTCAGTCTAAGAACTAATGGTTGGGTCGCCGACAGTGGGGTCTGGGGCTCCCCCTTTCCCCCTCCCGGGAAGGAGGGGGTTGCACAGATGGCAGCGCGGCGACATGATGACGTCATGAGGGCTAATTTAGTGTTTGGGGAGTTCTGTTCACCTGTTCAGTCTTCGGTCGCAATAGTTTACCAGAATAGGGGTTTGTTTTGGGGCGCCTACCTTTCTGGGTGCCTATCCCAGTCGATGGCAGACGTAGAATGCTCCCAATCATAAGGGGTGTCTCTATAGGCCATTGCTCCTCGTACCTCTCTAGATGGGGCCAGGTTCTGGCTCGTGGTCCCCGGTAGGCAAGAACTCCATGCATTGACTGATGCCAGAAAGTTATACATATCCATTCAGCCTGGACAGCTCCGGGGAGCCTCCGGGACTCACCCAGAAAATGGCGTTTCATTACATTCAACTCTGGATTTTTCATGATTTTTAATACCCAGCCTTAGAACTGGAGCGGGGATCGCCGGCGCAAGGGTTTGGGGCTACCCTTTCCCCCCTCCCAGGGAGGGGGGGAGCTGTGCAGACATGCAGCACGACTCGTGTGACGTCATGCTTGTTTGCTCGTTTTTCTTCTGGGGAGTTCTGTCCACTCATTTCTCTATATTCTTTGTTAACCAAAATAGGGGTTTGGTTTGTGGCACTTACCTTTCTGGGTGCCTGTCCTGGTCGTTGACAGATATAGAGTGCTCCAAATCACATGTGCATTTCTATGGGCCATTACTAAACCATGCCTCTGTGAGGGGTCCCAGGTTCTGGCTCATGGTCCCCGGTAGGCCTAGAACTCCACCCACATCGACTGATGCAAAATAGTTAGGGTATCCATATCAGCCATAGATAGCTCTGGGGATCCTCCGGGACTCACCCAGAAAATGGCATTTCATTACATTGAATGCTGGTTTTTGTCCATCTCTCCTTCAGTCTCCTCCTGTTCTGGGCGGGGAGGGGGGAGGAGTACTGTGGTTAGGTCATGTCTTTCGATCTGGGGCCTTCTTGTCTTCGGTGGCGTCACTCATGTTTCAAGGCACTCTGGCTGGGCAGGTAGCTTCACCAGGAGTTGGTCGAAGTAGGCTTTTGGTGGAGTCTGAGGCAGGTTTGCATGTGCCTTCTGCAGTAGCTTCGTCTGTGTCGGGTTGGCACAGTTCATGCCAATGTCCTGGTTCGTGTTCTAGTTACAATATGAAGTCCCAGTTTTATGCTGGCTAGTAAAGAATCCATCATTATCCATGGTGAAATGACAACTCTTTCATAGCAATCAAACTGTAGTAAAAGGAGGATGTTCCTTTAATGTTTTCATGGCTGGTGACTTTTTTTTTTATATCACCAGTCATGTGATATAAAAAAAATCTGTTCACATGTGTCCTCCCATGTGATGCTGGCTTATGACAGCATCACAGTCAGCTTACCAGGATCCCTGCAGCTTTTATCTCTACTGTAGATAGTGAGGAGGATGGCTGGATGAGACTGGGTGACCTGAGCTGTGACCTGGTGGTAACTGGGTCAGTTGAAGAAGCGATTGTTTACCTTCCTTCCTATTTCATTCATATAGAGCAATGGTTTGTTTCTGATGCTTATGATTTTATAAAAAGCTCATTTTGGTTGTGGGTTGATCTTTGGCCCCATATGCTTTTCTTTTCTCTTTGAGGTGCCACACAAAGTGGCTTTTCATTGCAGTCAGTGCCTTATTTTTCCAATTTCATCCATCAGTAGCACTAATCATTCAACCAATCTGCCTGTTACCTTAGATATGTATTTTTTTCTTGCAGAATTCTGCTTCCTTGAAAAACACCAAGGCACATGTGACAACTTGAAAGCATATTGGCATTATGATAGCAACGATGGTGTCTGTAAGCAGTTCTTGTATGGAGGCTGTGATGGTAATGAAAATCGCTTCTTATCACGACAAGACTGTGAAAATAAATGTGGTGAAGCTCTTGGTAAGAACTTATTAAAAATATTTTCATAAGCACAACACTTAACAAAACATACAACTTAGATAGCAAAACATTTATTGAGTTAGAAAATGTTTAGTTTGGTGGCCTTAAGGCCTATCAACTTAAGGATGCTATTAAGGCTATCACAATAACTTTCCTAACCATGAAGCACATATACTTTAGTTGGGAATATAATTTAGGATTAGAGTAAATTCTCAATGTATAAGCACTGAGAAGCAGAGTAACTTCTCATCTTATATATCATCTTCATAAAACCAGTATTGAATTTAATGAAACTCCATTTTCTGAGCGAGCCCCTAGAGGCTTCCTGAAGCTATCCAGACTAATATGTGCTCTAGTAGTTTGGGGACATCAGTTACTGGAGTTTGTGCTTACGGGGGACCACGAGCCAGAACCTGACCCCTTCAGAGAAGCGCAGGGAGCAATGGCCATATGAGCACTCTACATTTAGAGTATGTCATGTCTGTCATCGACTTGGGTATACCCCCAGAAAGGTAGGCGTAACAATACAAACCTCCAACTGGTGAAAATTGCAACCTTTATCCAAACAGAGCCAAAGAACGCCCCCCCAAAAGAAAACAATAAAACAAGCAAATCTTCATCCAACTAGCATTCCCCCCTTGTGAGTGCTCCCCCCTTCCCCAACATAAGGGAGAGGGAAGTCCACTCAAGAGAGGCGGCTGCTCCACCCTGCAGTTTTGAGAATGATGAAAAACTGCCAACCGGAGGGAGGGAGGGTGTCAGGAATCCTCCAGGGCTCGTGCAGAAAATGGCATTTCATTATATTCAAGGCAGATTTTCTGTGAGGAGCCCCATCGGCTCCCAGAAGCTATCTACCCACATACAAGTAAAAACAGGGACTGACCCAGGAGGCAGCAGCTTTGCATATCTCAAGATGAAGCGACAACAGGTTGTGACAGACGTCCCAAAGCAACAAGAAGTTGTGACAGACATCCCAAAGCAGCAACAGGTTGTGACAGACGTCCCAAAGCAACAAGAAGTTGTGACAGACGTCCCAAAGCAGCAACAGGTTGTGACAAGACATCCCAAAGCAACACAAGGCCGCAGAGGGCCCAGAAGATTGACAAGATAACGAATGGCCAGGACCCTGTTCGATTTCCAAAATCGTGCTTGAATCACGTGTCAACACACGACATATTCCCAAATACAGCAGCGAGAGCAGCATATTTCCTCACATCATGGTCACGAGGGTAGACCTCAGACTGGCTAGACCTGATAATCCTGTGGATAACTTGAGAGACATGAGCCCTGGAACAGGGAACCAGGGAAACTGGAGCAACCCAGAGTGCATCCACTGTCACTGAACCAGTGGCCCCTCAGGTAGCGATTTAAAGCCGCAACATGAAACAAAACAAGATGTACCCCAAGCATCAACAACCCCACGGACCAAGTGTAATAGTCAAAATACTGTAAAAAATAATTACAACCAAATAGGTGGAACACCTGGAGATTAATTATATAATAACATACAGACAGTATGGTTGTCGATCTGGAAAATCCTGTGTAACAGATTTATGTATTTTCTATGATCGAGCCACAGAGATTTTAAAGGAAAGTGTTGGTTGGGTTGACTGCATCTATCAGGACCTAAAAATTCTTTTGACAGAGTTCCACATAAGAGGTTGTTCTGGAAACTGGAGCATATTGGAGAAGTGACAGTGAGGCTTCTATCATGGATGAAAATTTTTCTAACTGATAGAAAAATGAGGGCAGTAATCAGAGGCAATGTATCGGACTGGAGAAATGTCACGAGTGGAGTACCACAGTCTTCAGTTCTTGCACCAGTAATGTTCATTGTATACATAAATGGCCTGACCAGATGGAATACAGAATTATATTAACATGTTTGCTGATGATGCTAAGATACTAGGGAAGATAAGAAACTTAGATGATTGTCATGACCTTCAAGAAGACTTGGACAAAATACGTGTACCACTAGGCAAATGGAATTTAATGTAAATCCATAACATTGCCATGTTATGGAATTTGGAATAGGAGAACATAGACCACACATAACCTAGAAATTACTTGAAAAGTCTTTTAACAAATTCTTATAAAGAAAGAGATCTAGGGGAGGTTCTAGATAGAAAATTATCACCTGAGAACCACATAAAGAATATCATGAGAGGAGCCTATGCTACTCTTTCAAATTTCATAATTGCCTATCATGAGAGGAGCCTATGCTACTCTTTCCAATTTCATAATTGCCTTTAATTACATGATGGGGAAATACTAAAGAAATTGTTCACAACCTTTGTTAGACCAAAGCTGGAATATGTGGTCACCATACACCAAAGTTGTATGGTGACCATATATTAACCTCTGTGATGGGCAGTGGAAAAAATAAAAACCAGCGTTGAATGTAATGAAAGGCATTTTCTGCTTGAGATCAGGAGGCTCCCCGGAGCTATCCAGGCATATGGGTATATTAGACTTTGGCATCAGTCAATGTGCATAGAGTTCTATGCCTACCGGGGACCACAAGTTAGAACCTGGTCCCCACAAAGAGGCATGAGGAGCAATGGCCTATAGAAACCCCCGTATGATTTGAAGAATTTTATATATATGCCATTGACCGGGTTAGGCACCCAGAAAAGTAAGCGCCCCAAAACAAACCCCCTATTCTGGTTAACATTGCTACTGAAAGCCGAACTAGTGGACAGAACTCCCCAAATGAAAATGAGCAAACGAGCATGACATCACCATGCCAACCCGTCTTCATCTGGTCGGCGCGGTGTTCGTTCTGTGCGAAGGTTGGGTTTCCATAAGGGGCATCAGCCTTTTCGTCGTTAATACCATTGATGGGGCAATGGGGGGGGGGCGGGAGGCGTGCTCTGTTTACTAACACCTTGTTCCAGGATTTGTGGGCCTTTTGGGTCGTTTCATGCAGCCTGCGGTTGTGTTGGGTGGCCATTCCTCCTTTGGGGGTTTGAGTTTGGCGGGGCAAGCCTCTTCTCCTGCATTCGGTCGTGGGCATGGTCAAAACAACCTAGTCCCTCAGGTGGGTTTCCCACCAGTTTCCAGTTCAGAAAAGTGACTGCACAGACCTCAGGTTCATTCTGGACTTGGCCCGTCTGCAACCTGTGGGTTTAATTCCCTTCCTTTCGGATGATTACTTTGTCCCAAGTCCGTCTTCTGTTTGAGCCAGGTGCTTGGATGGTGTCCCTGGACCTAAAGGACGCTTATTGGCACATCCTGATTCATCTGAGGTTCAGGGACTGGCTCGGTTTTGTTGTGGGGTGTCAGGGTTAACACTTTCATTACCTTCTGTTCGGTTTAAATCTGGCATCTTGCGTTTTCACACGCCTTACCCGGGTCATGGTGGCCCGTCTGAATCTTTTAAGTGTTCGGGTTCTGGCCTACCTCGACAACTGGCTGGTGTGGGCTCCCAGTCCGGTCCGTGTGTCTGCTCGCCAGGAATTGGCACCCTTGTGAGAGTCACCCTTGTCTCAGGGTGACTCTCACTGTTTTTGCTTCCGTTTGCTGCCTGTGGGGTTGGTGGCACCTTCAACCCCGAGCCTTGCGAGTTTTGTTGCTTGTTTGTGGCTCGATTACCCTGTCTTCTGCTGACTATGCGGGTGCAGGCAGCATGGGCATTGCACGTTGCGTTTTGGTGGTGGCAACGCGCTCGGTATTTGCTCCCCGGAAGCCCCGTGGCTGCCCTCTTTTTTGGTTGGTGTAACGGGGCTTGGGGGTGTCGGTCGCTTTGGATTTGTTTCCTTCCGCGCCCCCTTGTCATTCCCATGTTATTCCCATGTTGAGGTCTAGTCCGGTCCCCCCTTCCTCCCTGCATCTGGGTCCTTACCGTTTGTGGGTTCGGGGTTGGGGCGGGGCTTCGATGGTCTTGAGACTCGGGCGGTCTCAGGATTTTCCCTTCCGGGGTAGCGACAGAGGCATGCGAGCCTGTTCCTCCAGCCATGTTGTATGAGTCTGCCAGTGGGCTCCCTTTCTTAGTACTTTTCTGGCTGCCCCGGCTTTTGTCTTGTGAACTTGGGGCTTTGGGGGGGGACGGCTCGGCCCCGGGGCGTGCTGTGTGGGTTCCCTGGGCTTGTGAGGGGCTGACTTGGGGGGCCTCGGGCCCCATTGGACCCTGCCGGGGTTTTTCTACTCTCTGGGCAGGGCTTGCGGTTATGAGGAGTGGGGTTTTTTCTTCCCCCTCTCTGTACGAGTTGTTGGGTGTTGGCCCCTCCTCGGGTTCGGTTCCTTGTCCCTTGGATCCGTCGGTTCCGTCCTATCGGTGGGTATTTTTATTCGTTTCTCTGCCCTTCTCGGGATGGACCTTCGCTGTCGTGTTCCCCTCTTCTCGGGGTTCGGCATGACTTTTGGTCTTGGGTGCGACTGTGCCTTTATGCTTTACACTTGCTTCTATAGGTTCTCGAAGGTTCAGGAAGGTTTTTGCTTCTTCCCGTACTATTGGAACGTTTGTCGTCTTCAGGTGTGGTTACCCTCCGGTCCTTTCTAGGGCTTGTTGGTCCTCCTCCGTGCTTCTTCTCGGGTTTCGGTCCTGTTTCGTTCTTTCGTTATTGTATCTTCTCTCTGTACTCTGTCTCGGCACTGTTCATTTTCTTTCCATGTTTCTTGTTGGTGCCTTCCTGCTGAGCGGGTTGTGCGGTTCGGACCTCCTGTCCTGCGCTACAGGGTTGCCAGCTTGGGCTCCTTATGGCCCGATTGAGCTACTTGTAGCCCACATGCAGAGCAATTCTATGTGTGTTTTGCTACTTACTACTCTTTTTCGCTTGCTGTTCGCAGCTGACCTGTGTATTCTGAAATGGGAATCTATCATTACCAACAATATTTTGTCTGTTTTTATGGTCACATTCGTGATTTTTTTTCTTCAACTTCTAGCGAACTACATCTGGCATCTCTGCGGCTGTGCATGGGCCGTGGTAGTTTGTTTTGATATGGGCGGTGTGCACATGTGCTGGTGTTCTGTGTCCTTTTCTCTCAGGTGTTTTACCTCTCACTCCTCTCACTTCTCCAGTCCATGCCCCATAGCTACTGGGGGTGTTCTGGATTGCCCCATGGGGAGGATGCAGGGTATAATAGCAGGGGGACGCAGGGCCACAAAATACGGCCCCGTATTTTGTGGTCTTATCGGGATCACTCATTCCTTGCCCGTCTTGTAGGGCCTGGCTTAGTCCTTCCATAAACGTTGGATTTTCTGTACTTACCTAGTTGTACTTCCCTAGTGGTGTTTGCGGGACTTTGAGCTCTGGCTTATTGGTCCCACTTCTCACCTGTCAATCGCTAATGTGCGGGTTTCTGAGCCTGCTGGGCTCTATCTTATCTACGCTTGCAGCTGTGTGTAGTGTCGTCCTCCACCACACTGCTTCCTCATGGTACCGGTTGTCTCCTACTCAGACACTGCAATACCTTTTCCAACATATCTGTGGCTCGTTTGGGCTCTCATTCCACTGGTGTCCCCCTGGTGCGTGTGCCCCTGGGGTCCCGTAGTTGGTCTTTCTCTGCCCTATCTCGTCCTTTGAGAATCTTGACTGTGGTGATCATATCCTCGTAGCTCATACTCCTTGGTTTGGGTACTGGTCTGGTGGCATACCTTTGCACCTTTTTTTTCCATTTTGTCTTGTGTTGAGATGTCTCGAGCTACTTTGTGTGTTGTTGGTGTGGCTTGTTGGGACATGACCGGCGGCTCTGTATGTTGTTGGTCATGTCACATTCATTCCCGTTTGCTCCTTGCCTTCTATGTTCCTCATCTTCCTTCTACGCTCTTGTCCCTGGCCGTTGGTACAGGGGCTGTTCTTCTGGTCTTTTCTGTGTTTTCTGTTTCTCTTTTATCCTACACATTGTTGTGTTTTCTTTGTGCCTTTTGGCTCTCCTATTGCCAGGTTTGGGTTCCTGTTTTTCTGGCTTACCCTGCCTGTTGGCATTTTCATTCTCGCGGGGTCCCTTTTCTAGTCTTGAGTCAGACCCGTTGGACCCGATCTCCTGGCGGGCTCGCTGGCGTCAGGATGTACGGCAGACGTTCCATTTTCTCCTTGCTGGCTTGGGTTTCCGGCTCTGCTGGCTCCGTAGTCGCACCCGAGATCTTCCCGCGGCTCCGCCTCTTCCTAGGCTTGATTGGCCCATGGCAGAGCTGGTTTGGTTCTGCCTCAAGTCCCTCACCTTCTGTTGATGATCTGGTGACTTCGTTGCTGGTGTCCCACCTGCGTGCTTCTTCTTGGCGACAGTGTGGGGAATTTTGGCAGTTCTTTCTTTTCCTTCTGTCCCTTCTTAGGTAGTTGCGTTTGTTGGCATGGTCTTGTCCTTCTCTTGTGGGGGTTCGGGGCCGTCATCTTGCCCCATACTGTCGCCTCGTGACGTGCGACGGTGGTGGAGCTGCATCAGCTTTCTTTCGGTATTGATGTTACGTCTGTGCCGTTTCGCAAGCTGTCTCGTGCATTGTTCTCCTCTGACCTGCTCATGCTCCGCCTAAGCCGTCCTGGTCGTTGGGCAGGGTGCTCTCTTTTCCACCTTCTCCACAGTTTGTTGTGGCCCCTTTGATTCAGGTTTGTTTCTCTGAGTCTCTCTTTCTGTTGGCATTGGCCTCTGGGGGTTGGGTCAGAGTGTTTCATGCTCTCCTCTGACGTAGGAGGTTTTTTGCTCCTTCAGTCGTGGCGATAGGTTTGTTCGTCTGCAGCTGTCTCCTTCTTTTCTGGCAAAGAATGAGACTGCTGCTTTCCGAAGGGGTCTTTCGGTTGTTGATGCTTGGTTGGTCGAGCCGGGGGTGCATCGTGTTTTCTGCCCGGTTACGGCCCTCCGCCGTTCATTGCGCGCAACGGCTTTTGTGTCCTGGGATGCACTTTGGGTTGATCTGGTTTCCCTTCTTCCCTGTTCGCGGGTGCGGGTCTCCCTGGTCGTCTGCAGGGTTATTAAGGCTAGCCAGCCTGCGGTCTGTCCCCATGCCCATGACATTTGCACGTTCACTGCTCTTGCCCCCGTCTTGGCAACATGTTGACTGACATTCAGGCGCGGGGATTTTGGCGGTCGAACAGGGTCCTGGCTGCTCGTTATTTTGTGAACGATCCTGGGCCTAGTTGGGCCTGTGTCACTTTGGGTTGGTTGCAACCAGTTGTCTCGCCTTCGAGTTGAGGAGTGAGCAGCGACCACCTCCCGGGTATGTCACTCTACTTTTGTCTGTGGGTAATTAGCTCTGGGGAGCCACAGGGGCTCCCCCAGAAAACCAGCGTTGAATATAATGAAACGCCATTTTCTGGGTGAGATCCGGGGGCTCCCGGGCATCCCTCTCTCCCTCCGGTCGGCGTTTTTTTGTGTGTTTTGACATCCAGCTTCAGAACTGAAAGGTGGATAACCAGCGGGAGGGGTCTGGTGCTCCCCTTTCCCCCCTCCCAGGAAGGGGGGAGCTGCACAGACAGCGACGTATTGACGTGTGACATCATGCTCATTTGCTTGTTTCTTTTAGGGGAGTTCTATCCACTTGTTCGACTTTTGGTAGCAATATTTTCACCAGAATAGGGGTTTTGGGATGCCTACCTTTCTGGGTGCCTGACCCGGTCGATGGCAGACATAGAATGCTTCCAACCACACGGGGGTTTCTATAGGCCATTGCTCCCCATGCCTCTCTGAGGGGGCCAGGTTCTGGCTCGTGGTTCCCGGTAGGCCCACAGAACACCATACACATGACTGATGCCAAAGTCTGACATTAGCATATCAGCCTAGTAAGCTCTGGGGAGCCTCCGGGTTTCACCCAGAAAATGGCGTTTCATTACATTCAATGCTGGTTTTATATTATGTCCCAAAACTATTTACTTTTGGTGGTCCGTAAAAATCCCCCATTTATAGTATTGCACCTTTGGGAAATCTTGTTCCACATTCCAAACAATTGCTTTACAAACACCTTTTCTGAACTTAACCCATTCGTAGTTGGGGGACTTGTGTACAGTGTGTGCAGCATAAAACAAAGACAATAGTAACTAATAAGCAGACTTGTATGCCATTGACATTGTTGTCTATTTTGTATTGTACTGTTGAATGTACTTTATTTCTAATAAACTTTAATTATGTTCTAGATGTCTGCCAGCTACCTCTAGTTATTGGGCCATGCAGTGGAAGTTTCCGTCAATATTACTATGATAGTTCTTCAGATGAATGTTATGAATTTGATTATGGAGGTTGTCAAGGAAACAAAAACAGGTATAGTGATACTGTGAATAAAAACTTTTGTCATAAAATATAATTTTACAGCTATATTTAAATGTTAATTTATGATACAGTAAACAAAAAGTTCCATTATCTGAATTTATCTGATATCGCCACTACAGGACTCATCCCCCTCCAGGGAAAGGGCTCACCCCTTCCAGGGATCTGAGCTGTTGGGTTTTACTCTGATGCAGTTAAGGTCACTTGACTGCTGCAGTAGTTCATTGGTTGCCTCTGCTTTGTGGGCTCCACGGTTGAGGCCACATAGAGTTTAGATTCCTCTGGGCTCCATGCTTCAGCTCCATTTGGACTGTTCTCCAGTATTTTATTGCCTCAACCAGAGATGTTCAATTCAGTCCCTTGTCATTTAGTGCTGAACACTATGGGTTGCTGCTATGCTATGGTGGCTATGGCTGGACTTCTATGACTTCTATTGGGAAAATCCACAGGAGTTGTGATGAGGATTCGAACCTATGCACTGGGTATTCCCAGATGCACGCTTTAAAATCCTGTGGATTTTCTCATTGATATATCACAATAATATGATTACTCTGTGTATGTTTCTGTTGGGTTTTCAAAATTTCAGTCTCCTTACAGTTCATATTCAATGAGTGTCCAGTGTTCTTGCACACAGTCTCTGTCAGTTCCTTCTCATTTGCACAGAGTGGTTCATCAATGCAGCCTCCTTCCTTCGGCTTTGTGAAACATACATGTGCCTGGAGGTATAAGTATACCTCTTTGTGTCACCATGTAATCTGTGTCTTTCTCTTTACACAGCTCCATTCCCCAATTGCAAGGCCCTAGTAGTAGATGCCTTTTGACTGGACTGGTCAAGATTGGGGCTCCTGTACCACTTTTTTTCAATCCTGCTGGTGCTCTAGAACCTCACCAGGTTGGATTCCTACTCATAGGAATATGGATATTCTGTGGGGGGGGGAACCCCCACAGCTCCCTGGAGCTTATCGGGATAATTTATGTTATATTACACCAGGACATTAGCTATGGAGTTCAGACCTACCAGGGACCATGAGCTAGAACCTGACCCCTTCAGAGAGATTGCAGGGAGCAATGGCCCTGGAAAAAAAACCCCTGTGGTTGGGGGTTTTCCTTATCTGCCATCGATCGGGGTTAGGCACCCAGAAAGGTAGGCATAACAAAACAAACCCCACATGGTTGGAAACTAACAACAAAAACCGAACAGAAAGGTAGAACTCCCTACAATCCAAAGAAAACAAGCAAACGTAACACACTACTGCTGCGCCACTCGTCCGTGCGGCCCTCCCCTCCCTGAGACGGGAGGAGGGGGGCCAGGACCTCATCGCACCGGTTACATAGCACTCCAGTTCGCAAGCTAATGTCAACCGGGACAAACGCTTCTCTGGCCTCAGTTTCCTAGGCCGTGTTTGCCTTCATGGCGCTCACTGCCGTGTTTTGTGTTGTGCGGTGGCCAGGTGTTCCTCATCAGTACTGGGGCAGCATGCGCTCAGGGGGCTTCCTTCCCTAAGCGCCCTGTGAGTACTGCCCCTGCGTGACGGGGTTATCTTCCCTGGGGCGTTCGAGAACCAATCCCGTAGAGATTCTTGCTGCTCGGCATTTGCCTCATCCTTGGGGCAAGCCGGGGCTTGGGGCCCTTGTTTGGCCTTTGGTAGGGACTGGTATTGTGCTGGTTAGGGCATCAAGGTGTTGCGCGACCTGCTACTTATGCAGCGACCGGTTCCTGTTGCCTCTGGGGATGGTGTACTTTTGTGGGGGTTTTCTTTTGTTTTTATTTTCATTTGCCTGGTGGTGGTTCTGCCTAGTGTGGCTATAGCTCCACTGGTAGTGTTTGGTGGCCCTCTGCTAGGCCCCCATGATTGTACACATCGCCGAGGTTTTGTGTTGCATCTATCCCTTGTTAGCTTGGGTGTTAACAGGTTAGCAACATCTTACCCGGGCTTCCCGTAGCAGTCAGCCTATGGGCCCTGGAAAACCCTGCCAGGGCTCGGTGGACCATTCGATGTGTCTTCCGGGTTCCATCCCGTCTTGTACGGCATCGTTGGTTGCTGTGCCTTTGTCTCCAGGAGACAGTTGCCACTTTTACCTCTGTCATGCTGCCTGTTGGGTCACTGACACCTTGACCTGGAGTCTTGCGAGTTGTGTTCTTTGCTTGTTCTCCAGTACTCTCCTGATGCTGATGTTCTTCCTGTTCAGAGTACAGACGGCATCCGCGTTGCAAGCTCGGTTTAGGTTGCTGCAACGCGCTAGGCTGGTTTCCCACCCGGTTGCCCCGGGCCTGCCCCCTTTTGGTTAGGTGCTGTTCGCCCCTTTCCCCTCCCTGTTCCTGGCTCCTGACCGTCTGCGGGTTTTGGGGTCGGGGCGGGGTTTAGTTGGTGCTGAGACTCGGGAGGTTTCGAGGGCTGCCTCGTTCGGGTTGGTGACGGAGGTTTTCGAGCCTGTTCCTCCTACCAAGGCTTCTGGGTCTTACCAGTGGTCCTTTCTTTGCTGCCTTTTCCCTGGACTCTTCCTTTTCTTTAAGGGCGGAGGGCGTTGAGGACGGCTCTGCCCCGGGACCTGTGTTGTGGGTTCCCGGGGCTGTGGGGGATGCCCGCTAGTACTAACAGAACCCAATGTGTAATAGTATACAGTGGTACCTCGGAATGCGAGTGTCCCTGTATGCGAGTTTTTCGGAAGACGAGCAGGATTTCCTCGAAAAATATGTCTCGGAAGGCGAGGGTTACCTTGGGACGCGAGTTTGTTGATACGCGTACAGGCCGACCTAGCGTGTGGTGGTTCGGCAATCGTCGCCCCTCCACCCCTCCGCCCCTCAGTTTACCATTGTCTCGCGCCCAGTGACTACCCCACATCAATTCTTCTCGCGGATTTTCAGTGTTTTGTTGGATTTTTGGTGATTTGACTATACAATTTGTTATTATATATCTCACCATGGGTCCCAAGAAAGCCAGTGGTAAGGATAAAGGCCAGAAAGCCCATGTGAGGATGACAATAGAGGAGAAACAAGAGATCATTCGGAAGCATGAGAACGGTACACGTGTTGTTGAACTTTGTAGGCAGTACAACAAAGCCACATCAACAATATGCACTATACTTAAGAAGAAAAATAAGATTATGAGTGCTAAAGTGGGAAAAGGAGTCGGAACAATAACGAAACAAAGACCACAAATACTTGAAGTGGAAAAGTTGTTATTAATTTGGATACACGACAAGGAGTTAAGGGGTGACAGTGTTTCGGAAGCCATTATTTGTGAGAAAGCCAGGGTTTGGACAGATTTGTGGTGAGGAAATCGAGCAGTGAGCCTCAACCAGGACCTAGTGGCACTCAGATAAAACGTCCCAGGGAGAGCACACCAGAAAGGTCTTCACTGCCTGATGTGATAATGGAAGGGACTCCCCTTCCAAACAGTAACTCCTCTCCTCCTCCCCCCTCCTCACCATCTTCCATACGCCTACAGCATTCAACAGCAAGGTAAGTAATAACTGGAACATAGTTTTGTAGGTTTATTTAGATGAATTAGGTATAAAAATTTAGTTTGATGTGGGGTTTTTGGGGTAGTCAGGAACGGATTAATTCATTTCCCTTTATTTCTTATGGGGAAATTAGCTTCGGAATGCGAGTTTTCGGAATACGAGGCGTCTCCAGGAACCAATTAAACTCTTAAACTGAGGTATGCCTGTATTAACAAAGATAAGTTCCAGCTCATGCGCTACAGAAAAAATGAAAATATAAAAACGGAAACCACGTACAAAACTCAGGCAAATCATAACATAGAACGAAAAGGCAATGTAAAGGATCTGGATCAGGGTGTACTCATGTCGGAAGACCTTACCTTTAAAGAACACAATAAAGTAGCCATCACAACTGCAAGAAAAATGACAGGTTGGATAACAAGAACTTTTCACACTAGAGATGCTGCACCGATGATGATACTTATCAAAACGCTTGTGCTCTTTAGAGTGGAGTACTGCTGCACAATAACAGCCCCTTTCAAAGCTGGAGAAATTGCTGACCTGGAGAGTATGCAGAGATCCTTTACTGCTAGAATCCACTCAGTAAAACATCTAAACTACTGGGACCGACTAAAGAGCCTAAATCTGTATTCCCTTGAGCGCAGGCGGGAGAGATACATAATAATCTATACATGGAAAATAATTGAGGGGCTGTTCCCAAACCTGCACACAGAAATAACATCACATGAGACCAGAAGACATGGCAGGATGTGCAGAATACCCCCGTTGAAAAGCAGAGGTGCATCAGGTACTCTGAGGGAGAACTCTATCAACATCAGAGGCCCAAAACTGTTCAACACGCTTCCACTACACATAAGGGGCATAACTGGCAGACCCCTCACAGTGTTCAAGAGAGAACTTGACAAACACCTCCAAAGGATACCTGATCAACCTGATCACAGTCTCCGTGGTGTAGTGGTAAGACACTCTCCTGGCGTTCCGCGAGCGCTATGTCATGGGTTCGTATCCTGGCCGGGGAGGATTTACTGGGCGCAATTCCTTAACTGTAGCCTCTGTTTAACGCAACAGTAAAATGTGTACTTGGATGAAAAAACGATTCTTCGCGGCAGGGGATCGTATTCCAGGGACCTGCCCGAAACGCTACGCGTACTAGTGGCTGTACAAGAATGTAACAACTCTTGTATATATCTCAAAAAAAAAAAAAAACCAGGCTGTGACTCATACGTCAGGCTACGAGCAGCCGCATCCAACAGCCTGGTTGATCAGTCCAGCAACCAGGAGGTATGGTCGACGACTGGGCCGCGGGGAAGCTAAGCCCCTGAAGCATCTCAAGGTAAGGATGCACCTCAAGGTAGTAGTTTTGGAGCTGTTTGCCCATGCCTGCGTCTTCTGTTTCCGGGCGGATTTTTCCTTCCTCTAGTCTGCTTACTTCCCACATTTGCTGGCATGTTTTTAGCTCTATTGCGTCAGTCAAGGGTTTTTTGTTTGGTGGCCATTTTCTTTCTGAGGATAACTCCCCGCTTGGCCAC